CTTTATTATGGGTCGAATCTTCTAGAAAACAGTCTATTCCCTTTATTATGGGTAGAATCTTCTAGAAAACAGTCTATTCCCTTTAATATGGGTCGAATATTCTAGAAAACAGTCTATTTCCTTTATTATGGGTCGAATCTTCTAGAAAACAGTCTATTCCCTTTATTATGGGTAGAATCTTCTAGAAGACAGTCTATTTCCTTTATCATGGGTCGAATCTTCTAGAAGACAGTCTATTCCCTTTAATATGGGTCGAATATTCTAGAAAACAGTCTATTTCCATTATCATGGGTCGAATCTTCTAGAAGACAGTCTATTCCCTTTATTATGGGTCGAATCTTCTAGAAGACAGTCTATTCCCTTTAATATGGATCGAATCTTCTAGAAAACAGCATATTCTTTTATCATGGGTCAACTCTTCTAGAAAACAGTCTATTCCCTTTATTATGGGTCGAATCTTCTAGAAAACAGTCTATTCCCTTTATTATGGGTTCGAGCAATATTTTTAAAAAGAGATAAAATCCATACTCACCCACTGGGTCCACGTTGGTTAAATGGTCAACAAAGTCCCGTTTTCCAAGGTATAAGGTTAGCTAAAACAAAAGAATAATAATAAAAATTATTGAAAAAACTCTTCTTCATTTTCCTTTGTTTCAGTATTACATTTTAGCTCTCATGTTGGAATTGTGAAAGAAAGAAATTTAGTCTTAAAAGGACCTGCTTTTATTTTGAAGTACATTTTAATTGCACCCCCCCCCCCCCCAGTGGCACAGCAGCATGTCTGCGGACTTACAATGCTAGAAACCGGGTTTCGATACCCGTGGTGGGCAGAGCACAGATGGCCCATTGTGTAGCTTTGTGTTTAATTACAAGCAGAAACAAACAAGCATTTTAATTTTACATAAAAGATATCACGTTAGAATCATACCAAACTCAATGAGTAGGTGGCGTTTCAACTTTGAATAAAACTCTGTAAAACGAGTTTTTACCTAATATCTGAAATGTTCAGCTAAGTACGAAACAATTGTTTAGTTGCATTTAAAACATACGAATAGGAAAAAAAACTATTGTTAACTTTAAAGTAAATATCCGTTAACAAAACTAGTGTGAAGTATTTATCCGCGTACAAAACTTGTGTTAACTTTAAAGTAATTATATGTGTACAAAACTTGTGTTAACTTTAAAGTAATTATATGTGTACAAAACTAGTGTTAACTTTCA